TGTCACATGCCAGGCCACCATGATGTCACAGCCAGCACCATGATGTCACATGCCAGGCCATAAAAATCTATAAATAGGGTGCCTCGACACACAGTTGTAGAATCCCTTGCAGGTGAATTAAGCTAGCGATTGAATTGTGTTTTCAGATGAAAGCGCTTATAACCTTCTCCAAAGTAGAGTACTCTTCCTCCACCCAACCTAAAATGTATATTTCTAAATACAGGGAAGCAATTGTATTAGAAAATAAATATAAAAATGAACACAGGACCATGTGCCAAGAACAGTTAAGGCCCCATCTCATCGCGAAATGTGCCACAGAGGCCAGAAGGCGAAAAACCTGAACACACATTCAGGAAAAAACCAGAACACACAGCATGAAGAAAGTCATGGCTCAACCTGCTTGTGTGGATACACGCAAAGGGGACAAGCAGCTCCTTGAGAAATCTGGACTTGTCCCCTTTTTATTACAGAAAAACGATTACAGAATCGTTCCAGGCTACCTGCGTAGAAGAAAGGCAGAGAAAGAAAAGGCTAAGCAGGACAATGATGCCTGGTTAACAAAACAACAGGAAACAGTTAAACCACTGGCCGAACAGGAGAAACAAAACATTCTCCAGGCCTAAAGAGGAGGTTTAATGAGCTAAACTTTGAATATCAATCCTCCCTTTTACTATCTCCCCTTCACAGCACAAAAATACAATTACAAAATGTTTCTCGAAGAGGCAATGAGTCAAGTTGAAAAAGACATTGCCCTTTTGAGGAACATAAATACATTTACGTAGGCAGGGAAGATGCATCTGACGAACAACAGTTACAAGCGGACTCCACTGCCACCCATTAGACCGAAAAAGACAAAGTTGACACCCGCTCCTCAAGTCACACAACCAACAAAAAAGGAAACTTTCTCGACCGACAACCTACACCTTTTTCGTAGGATGTGTGTTCCACCTATATCCAGAAGTGGAAAGCAACCTATTCCCATGACTGAGAACCTTCACAGACAACCTATTCCCACCAACTAGTTATAATTCCACGACCTAGTCCTGTCCCTCTGCCACCTATTTGTAAAAAAGCTGAATCTACACCCCGACCACCTGTAAGACCTCCAATGAAACGAGGTGTAACACCCATCCTTCCACCCATTTCCACCAAAAAGCTGTAGTGCTGTACGTTAGAGTAGTTTTTAACTACCTAACCCCAACCGGTCTTGACAGAAGCCGCACCATCTGAGCCTGGTTCTGTCGAAGGTTTCTTCTTTTTAAGACAAAGGAGTTTTTCCTTCCCACCGTCGCCCAGTGCTTGCTCAGATGAGATCATTTGATTGTTGGGGTTTTCTTAAACATAAATGGCCTATTGAAAAAATGTAGTGTTCTTACTACATTTTATTTCAATAGACCAATTATGTTCAAAAAAAAAAAATTACAGCAGAAAAGAAAGCATGGGAGACATCTGATGCATTTCATTGCTTTTAAAAAATAATTTATAATTTATCTGGAACAAATAAAAGAAAGTAAAAATAATCTTTTGTGGATTCTTTTTCTTCAATAAGTAGTAGAATAGGCAGTTCTTTATACATAAAGCGTAGTGTTTTGTTAAAAAATAAAGTGGCACAGCGGCACTGTGTTAAAGGCCTGTGTTTTTACCATCAGCGTGACAGCACCGTGCCGCCTTTGCAGTTTTAAGGCCCAGGGAAACAAGCCTGCCAGCGCTCTGTAGCGGCTGTGACCGCTGCCGATAAGGAAAGGCTGCTCTTCATAGAGGACTCAAGCTCGGGGAAACATTTTCTGGTCGACTCTGGCTCCCAGAAGAGCCTCTGGAACTCTTGTGTCGTCTTTACAATGGTATATTATTTAATCTCAAAAAAAACAAAATAAAAAAAAATTGGAGATTTCCCGTATCACATAACATGTGCAGGTACACTGGTACAGCACATGTGAGCGAAATTCTTATGTGTGGCAACAGAGGTGTGCAAAATACAATAACATAAGAACAAGCAAAATATACGAATGGGTAAATCTGAGAATTATAAGAATAAATATATGTACAAATATAAGAGTGTATGTTAGGGCTGTTCGATATAACGATATATATCAAATGACGATATAAAAATGTCTATCGTTTCCTATTACGCTATCGTTTGTTTCGTGATGTCGTAAAATAAACTGTTTACAGCAGTATTTTTCATCGTTTTGACGGTCACCTTAGTGGCTATATTAATTTCTTAAAGTTCTCTCTTTCTCTTATATTTAATATAACCACACTATGGGCGGGCAAGTGCCTGTTTTTACGTGTTTCGTTAGCAACAATGACGGTAAAACCATCGCGTGGTTCCGCTGTACGCTTGTTTGTTTTCCACGTAAACCTTTCACAATAAAGCTCAAGATCCTGTTGAGACTTTTCAAAACAAACTGAATCACATGAGAGAGTATGCAGAGTTTACAGATGAGAAGCAAACAAAGAGCCGTCAGACTCAAACTATATGTATACACCTGCCCGCCTTCGTAAACAACTAAATGCTATGTTGCCCTATCATTTTTGATTGGTCCACATGGTATATTTTTTCACCAATAGGAAAGGCTGGGGGAGTTGGGAGGGGGACTGAGTGCTTTCTAGTGTTTTTCCTTATAAAAACCGTTTCTTCCCGCAGTAAATATAAACAACGATAGTGTTAACTCAAAAGACACGACGTTGTACTCTCATTCACAGCGCTTTTATTCCTTCCGCCATTTTACATACGGACCACAACAACAACACTTCGCGGGCAACCGTACTCTCGCGATAAAACAGAAAATAACAAGTTAACAATCTCCCTCTTTCTTAAAAAAATAAAATAAGAGTATAAACACACCCCAGTAAACATTTGTATACACACCCCTGTAAACATTTGTATACATATATGTATATATTTATATAAACAAAAAAAACATTTCAAAAGTGCTTTGCTTTACTTAAAGCATACTATCATTGCACACAATAAACAATGGTACATTTGAATGCAAAGACAACTTTGTAGACAAAGGATTACAGTATCCAGAGTCCTTCATCTAGCGCCTTTAGAAGGGTTAAAGGTGAAACTCCCTTTTTCGTCAGACAATCAGCAAGTTGAGATTTTGAATCTGACCAACAAACCTGTCTGATTTTCTTGGCTTGTATGAGCTCTTTAATGCTGCTCATTTCTAGCCTCAGTCTCTTCTCTGTAACCTGCTTAGTAGACTTGAGTGCATCAAACAAGGAATGATTATCAGTTACACAGATCAAAGGAAGAGCGTTTAGACCAGTGTTACCAGTTGTAAGCTCAGAAAAAAGTGTTGCCAGGAAGACAGCACTGTCTATTCATCTGACATGGCAAGAGTTTCTCCTGCCAGTGTACTTCTGACCACGCGCCTGATTTTTTTAGACTGCCAGAAGAGAGGACAAAACTTTCCTCCTTTACCCATAAGGACGATTAATGCCCCTCCTTGAGTACCGCCATCAGGAAGGTTGCCAAATGAAGCATCACTGAAAACAACCAATGCCAGATCCTCACTGTTACCCAAGTGCTGAAACTTAAGAGTCACTTTCTCTGCCTTAAGTTTACGGATAACTTTGTTCACTTCATGAATAGACTGTACAGTTGCATCTTTGATATTAGATCCAAGGCTACATGTGTCAAACATAACATCAGGCCTTGTTTGTTTGGCAACCCACAAAATCTGTCCTATTTTTGACCTGAGTTGCTCACGTTCTGTTTCACTTAAGGAAGCCTCCCTCTGTACAGCCCGTGCTGCTTGTAACTGAACCGGTTGTAGGTTGTCAATGTAAAGTTGTTGATGCACCTCTATTACATCATTAACTGTACAAATGTCCATACCAACATAAGAAAAGCTGTCATGTTCTTCACGGCCCACAAGGAAGGTAGATTTCAGTACAGGAATGATATGAGTTGCAAAGTGACTTGAACCAGCCCAAAGGAAATCATCAACGTGACATGCAAGCACTCCTGTAACCTCAGATTGTTCATTCTGCCAATAGAACACTGCAGGATCAACCTGTGATATTTTACCACCAGTTTTGAGCATAATGTCTTTGACCTTATTGTACCAATAAAGTGAAGCATCTGCAAGTCCATAAACACACTTTTTCAGTTTCCATAGAACATTGTCCTTGCCAGCTTCAGGTGGGGACGAAGATAGATGTCTCTTGACAGTTGCATTCCCTGCAAGAAGCCAGATTTAATGTCCATGAATTTACTCTCCACTTGTTTGACATATCACAGCTAGCACCAGTCTGAGGGACTCAGACGCACATGTTGGAGAGTCTTCTGTAGTTCTTTAGTATTACCTCTTCAAACCCCCGTGCCACAAGTCGAGCCTTTGGGACAACACCATTAGTAGTTTCTTTGAGTGTACAGACCCATCTAGTAGACACACATTTTTGACCCAGGTCTTTCACTTCATCAAACACACCATTACTTTGCCAGCTCTCAATCTCCTGCTGCTTAGCAGAATCAAAGGAAATATCTCTTGTTATGAGTACATCTGCATCTCTGTTTTCAGCTTCAGTGCAAAGACCATCAACAAGTGACATGTCTACAGCTTTCTTTTCACCTTCACTACCATCATGCTCAAGATATTGCACATTGTACCAGTTTTTGTATTGCCCTTTTGCTTTTCCCGCTCTGCCTAGCACTCTGGCTGTGTGTTGAACACCGTTGTCTCTGTTGGTAAAAGCAATCAGCTGTCCTGATCTTAACTTTACATTTGCAGAGACATGATCAGTGGGTGTAGAGGGCTCATTTGCAGTTTGTGTGACAGACATGTTTTCTGTAGTGTTAGTTTCTCTGTCAATAGTGATGTCTTCTTCCTCACTAATACTCTGTTCCCCATCGGGTGTGTCAGTGTCATCATTTTCAACTGCGTCTTTGTTGTCATCATCAGTAGTACTGTGTGATATTTGTTTATCTCCAGTCCGTGAATCCACTTTAGTCAATCTTGACTGGTGTACTCTTACAAGAGTCCCCCATGTCTTACAAATACAACAGTTCCATCCTGCCCAATAACTACACCTGGACCCTTCCACTCTGTACAGTCGACTCGTTTGTAGTATACTTTATCTCCTGCCTCATATTTGTCATTGTAGGCCTAAGTTGTTTGCGTAGTGCTCTCCTGATCCTTTCTGAACACTCTGCCTCAGTAAATGCTTTTCTGGAAGCATGTAATGCTGAGATATGTTCAGCTACTCTTGCACTTACAGTTGTGCCCTCTAAGGCAGGTGGCTTATCCATCAACACAGAAGGAAGGTTGGGGTTTTGGCCAAACACAAGTTGATGTGGACTATAACCATGTACATTAAGCATACTGTTTTTGGCCATAAGGGCCCAGTCTAGCGCAGTGTGCCAGTCACATCCTCGTTCCTTTTTACCTTCAGGAGGATTTCTGTAAGTGTCATGTTATGTCTCTCCAGTAGTCCGTTGCTCCAGGGACTATACCCCGCCGTTGTTTTTACCTCAATGTTGAAGTTTCAGCCATGTCCCGAATGTCCAACCCGTTCTCACTCCCAAAGCGTAACATTTTACGCTAGGTGACAAATCGTCACCATATTACGTTTTCGGCTACCCACCATGTTCCTAAATGACGACCTCGGAAAAAAGAGGAAATATGAGAACCGTCTGGACTGAATCTACACATGTTCGCTCTTTTTATTCAAATCGCTTAGAAACACACTATTTAACTTCATTAAAGTCCTAGTTAAGGTCAGGAATAGGTTATGGTCAGGGCTAGGGATAAGGTTAGGTTTAGGGCTGGAATACAGGGCTGGAACATCTATTACCGCGGAAGCGTCATTGCACTGGATCCCAGCCATAACCCGCGCGTACCATAAGAACGCCGAAGGTCTCCTTTCGCGTTCCTCAGGAACGCCGCGGGACGTGACAAAACGTCGACATGTTACGCCTCGGGAGTGAGAACGCTCTGACATGTCAGTTATGAGGAGTGAAGGAAAAATACAAGATTGATGAACAGGATCTGGATCAGATGGAGAAACAGGCGGAGGAGGCAGGAAGCCAGCAAGAGGTAGGAAGGCATCAAAAATGAATAGCACAAACATGTCTGCCTGTTAAATATAGAACATCAGCCACCATGTTTTAACTCAACTCTAAAGGTAAATACTTCAAGTCCCTCTTCCAGCCTTGCGAGCTATAACCTCCAACCTCTTTGTTGTGTCATGCCTCTCCCAGGTCGTGGCCGTGGCCGACGAGGTCCAAACGTACAGAGCTCCGGTGACCACAAAGCACGCTCGGAGCTGAAAACAAAGGATCAGATCATGAAGCAGCGCAAGAAAAAGCAGAAGCACCAGTTCCTGCAGGGCGGGGGGATGAGGAAGCTCCGCTCCAAGAACAAAAAGTGGCTCGGATAAGTTAAAAAGTCAGGTTTTGGAAGGGGTGGCCATAAGAAAGGCAAGCTGAGGAAGAAACTGGGAGGAGGACAGAGGGTTGATGGTGTGGAGGACATCACGAGGAACTGGGTGATAAGCATCAGAATCATCTGAGAACATCACCAAAGATTTTCCTGGCGCTTTGTGTGACTGTAGATTAAGGAGAAAATCATTTGTGAATCTTTACACTGCAGAAATGCACGTCACTTCTTCCTTGATGGCCTGCTGAACTCTGCGTTTGCCACAGAGTTATGTTTAATTATGATCCACTAACCTGGATTTACTACTTGTAAGCATGTTGGCAGTCTAATAAAAGTGTTTTGGAGTACTGAAATATGTCTTATCAAAATGGTAAAATACAGATATTAAATATTGTGTGCTTAATTGCAGTTAGTTTCAAAAATCGTCTCGCCCATCTTTTCTTAAAATAAGAGGTGCTCTATAAAAATGACATTAAATTCTGTAAACGTGCTCTATTTGCAATTATTTATCATTACTGTTGTCCAAGTGGTCTCATTTCAAAGTGAAAGCGAGCATCGGAACGGGCAAGAAAGGCGACTTTTAATTGACTTTGAATGTGTTGTGGTTACTGATATCAGATGGGCTGGGTTGAGAAACTGGCTTAGAATTCCTCTTGCCTTCAGCATGGCCACGCCCCTCTGACTTCTGCAATCAACAAGGCATTTTTACCCAGGGAAATGTTTATTTCGCTTTTCAGTTTGGACTGTTCTCTGTAAATTCCTGAGAAAATTTGAGAAGATCAGGAGTGTCTGAAAAACGTAAAACAGCCCATCTGTCACCAACAGCAATGCTGCCTTCAAAGTCACTTAAATCACCCTTTTTTTTTTCTGGCATGTGATTGGCTGATTAGATATTTGCATTCACAAGCAGCTGAATAGGTTAGTGCAGGGGTCAGCAACCTGCGGCTCTTTAGTCTTTTTAGTGCGGCTCTGCGTGGTTTGGGAAAATAAATTATTTTTTTAAGTAATTAGCTGAAGTGTATTTTATTTATGTTAGTTTTTTTTTTAACTTGTAGTTCTAAATTGGAAGATTACTGTGATATTGAAATATAAATATAAAATTATATTCTATTACAGTTTTTTCTGATGCCTAAGCACATTTTTTGTAACTATTGGCTAATTTTGCAAAACTCTTCACACAAATAAGAAAACCTGTCACCCAATAATCAAAACATTGTAGTTCTCTTGCAAAAGCAAACACAGCTAGATTAACTCTTCACACCTTCGTAAAAATGGTGTTTCCGTATCAAACAGTACACACAAGCCATCATCTACTAAGCACACAATGCGCCAACTGCACACTGATGGTATGAATACAAAACACATCTGGCTTTTGCTTTCTCTGTGCACAAGGTAGGCTATGTCAGTTTGAGCTCATACTTCTGTCATAGATCCATAAGCATAGAGGGATCCAAACTTCAAGTACTGGTGTACTTGAAACACATCAAAACAAACACAAGTGTTCATTTCCAAGTATAGGATTATTTGCAATCGCCATAATGACTATATGGGTTACTTGGTCTGCAGTGAACATGCTTCCTCTGCCCCAGCATCTGGTCATCTAGCAATTCTGTAAAGTAACAATTTCAGTATTTTACATCAATGGTATTGGTGTGTTTTCATTGGCATATGGCAGTGCTACAAATCTTTGTGCGAAGTGACTGTACTAACCGATTCTCATTTCAAGATGTCCTTATGGTACTTGCTACAGTGTAGCGGCTCGAGTTAGGCTGGACCCGTTGGCCAGCTACCCTCAGGGTCATTCCACGGTTGATTACATGGTTGATTACATGGTCCACTATTGTCATCAGCAATTCTATTCTTACTCTTCCTACTCTTCCTCTCCCCCCTCCTCGTCTTCCTCTTGCTCCTCCTTGTCCTTGTCGTCTCTTCATCCTACTCTTCACCTCCACGTCCTCTTCCTCGGCCTCCTCTACTTCTCACTCTTTCTGCTCCCTCCATTGTACTCCGCACACACAGCTTACCTGTATTATAGTGCTTAGGCTGATTGCAAAGTGAACTAATTATCTAAAAAAGTTTTCACATGTGAAAGTGTGCCAGACAGTTGGCAAATTAGTGTTAATGATAGCCATACATGTGTATACTTTTGCTAGGAGTGTGTTGGAAATTTGGTAATTGAGTGTTGTGCAGTGAATTGTGCCTACCGTTTTGCAAAGTGTGTGTTACAAATTGCAAACTGAGTGCAAAGCAGTTTATGTGCTTTTAGTTTTGCAAACTCAGTGAGTGGTTTTGCTATAAGTCTGAATAGTTTTAGAGATTGTGCTACAGGAATCACAGTTAGGGTTTAAGCATTCAGAAAAAACTGTAGTTTTTGAACGCTCAAATAAGCGTCACACTTGCGGAAGCCGATATACCCGCCGAAACGCCGTGCATTTATCGAGACTTTCAACCCCAGGTAGGCTAATTATCAATCTTCGGATCCACATTATGTTCAGCAGCTCCACCGTGAACTATGTTAAAAACAAACACCGCTCACGCCTCACAGATGACAGCTTACAGTCCTGCGTAAAGATGAAAGTGACTTCATACAGCCCCGATTTGCAGACGCTGTGCGCAGAGATTCAGGAGCAGAAGTCCCATGTAAACATATCACGGCAGACCCAACGATGTTTCCATGAACACGCTTTACAGCTTCTCTTTATTGACCACTTTTCACACACGGTTGCTGTATGCATACAGCCGGTGTTAAAGCTCACAGCCCGAAACATACCAACACAACAGCATAGAGAGCACAGACGTTAAGGCGCCGAGGCGTGATCGCGGGTGCCGCTCAGGTGCGTCCGCCTCCCCTGCAGCGGCGCTGCAGACCACGCCCCGCCACACACATTAACCAGGTAAAATACATATTGTCAGGGTTCCTGGGTCGGTGACCCAGTGTTTTCAGTTTTGTTCATGTTCATATATATATATAGCATATAGTAAACAATGAATCTGTAAACGACAGCTGTTGACATTTTTTAAAAATGAATGAAAAAGCATATTTAAATAATCAACATACATGATTTAAATATAAACACACACGTGACAAGAGACAGAACGTGTAGAAGATATAATATATCTTCTACATATTACCCATTCGTATATTATACGAATGGGTAAATCTGAGAATTATAAGAATAAATATATGTACAAATATAAGAGTGTATGTTAGGGCTGTTCGATATAACGATATATATCAAATGACAATATAAAAATGTCTATCGTTTCCTATTACGCTATCGTTTGTTTCGTGATGTCGTAAAATAAACTGTTTACAGCAGTATTTTCATCGTTTTGACGGTCACCTTAGTGGCTATATTAATTTCTTAAAGTTCTCTCTTTCTCTTATATTTAATATAACCACACTATGGGCGGGCAAGTGCCTGTTTTTACGTGTTTTCGTTGCAACAATGACGGTAAAACCATCGCGTGGTTCCGCTGTACGCTTGTTTGTTTTCCACGTAAACCTTTCACAATAAAGCTCAAGATCCTGTTGAGACTTTTCAAAACAAACTGAATCACATGAGAGAGTATGCAGAGTTTACAGATGAGAAGCAAACAAAGAGCCGTCAGACTCAAACTATATGTATACACCTGCCCGCCTTCGTAAACAACTAAATGCTATGTTGCCCTATCATTTTTTGATTGGTCCACATGGTATATTTTTTCACCAATAGGAAAGGCTGGGGGAGTTGGGAGGGGGACTGAGTGCTTTCTAGTGTTTTTCCTTATAAAAACCGTTTCTTCCCGCAGTAAATATAAACAACGATAGTATTCAGGAAGAAAACCTGCATATATTTATACTGAACATAAAGTTGTTTGCAAAACTTGTGCATAATTTTTACAAATGTACAACTTCTATTCGCATTTCAAGTTATGAAAACAATTCCTTAAACATGTTTGTGGCTTTTACAGTAAAATGACAAGTATTTTCTACTCGGATTTGAATTTTTTTTGTCTGAATTTAGATCTATTGTGCAAATATAGTATAATGAAAAATTAACTCAAATTTCAGATATTTGAGGTTGTGCCAAAAAAAAAAGAAGAAGATTTTTTTAAAGGTGAAATATAGAGGTAAAATCTAAAGTAGTCAAAAACGGCCAATTATACTCTGGACCCCAGAGGGTTACTAAATACATTACATGTCTTGGGTGACTGCAGCTGGAACCTTGGCAAAAAGTGTATGTGTGTGTGTGGAATGCTAGCTACCAGCATTCATAATATAATAGTTACAATAGCAACAGTAACCAGGGGGTGGGGCTTAAATGACAGAACAAAGACAGGCTACCATGATGTCACATGCCAGGCCACCATGATGTCACAAGCCAGGCCACCATGATGTCACATGCCAGGCCATAAAAATCTATAAATAGGGGTGCCTCGACACACAGTTGTAGAATTCCCTTGCAGGTGAATTTAAGCTAGCGATTGAATTGTGTTTTCAGATGAAAGCGCTTATAACCTTCTCCCAAAGTAGAGTACTCTTCCTCCACCCAAACCTAAAATGTATATTCTAAATACAGGGAAGCAATTGTATTAGAAAATAAATATAAAAATGAACACAGGACCATGGTGCCAAGAACAGTTAAGGCCCCATCTCATCGCGAAATGTGCCCACAGAGGCCAGAAGGCGAAAAACCTGAACACACATTCAGGAAAAAACCAGAACACACAGGCATGAAGAAATCATGGCTCAACCTGCTTGTGTGGATACACGCAAAGGGGACAAGCAGCTCCTTGAGAAATCTGGACTTGTCCCCTTTTATTTACAGAAAAACGATTACAGAATCGTTCCAGGCTACCTGCGTAGAAGAAAGGCAGAGAAAGAAAAGGCTAAGCAGGACAATGATGCCTGGTTAACAAAACAACAGGAAACAGTTAAACCACTGGCCGAACAGGAGAAACAAAACATTCTCCAGGCCTAAAGAGGAGTTTAATGAGCTAAACTTTGAATATCAATCCCTCCCTTTTACTATCTCCCCTTCACAGCACAAAAATACAATTACAAAATGTTTCTCGAAGAGGCAATGAGTCAAGTTGAAAAAGACATTGCCCTTTTTGAGGAACATAAATACATTTACGTAGGCAGGGAAGATGCATCTGACGAACAACAGTTACAGCGGACTCCACTGCCACCCATTAGACCGAAAAAGACAAAGTTGACACCTGCTCCTCAAGTCACACAACCAACAAAAAGGAAACTTTCTCGACCGACAACCTACCACCTTTCGTAGGATGTGTGTTCCACCTATATCCAGAAGTGGAAAGCAACCTATTCCATGACTGAGAACCTTCACAGACAACTATTCCCACCCAACTAGTTATAATTCCACGACCT